TTCTATCTTGGGCAGAGCATTGGTCACTTCTCTGTTCCTGTGCTTCTGATTTCCTTTCTCACAGCTGGCAGGGACTACGACATTGGCAGCTCAAGGGGTGCATGACTAAGGTGGAGGGGGGAGCAGCTGCTGCCTGTTAGAAAGTGGGTGGTTGGGTTGGGAGGCAGGCATACAAGCAGCATATGGAAATTCCCCCAACTCCACCACTCCAATGACATCACGGATCTAAACCATTGCTGCGAGAGGGGCTCCAGGGCAGGCCTCTCCTTCTCCAGGCATTCTAGCTCTTCTCCTTTACCACAGATTTTCCACCCTCTTGACTTTAGAAAGGAGTATTGGAATATGATGCACATTTGTTGATTTTAATTAAATAAGAAAAAAACTGATGTCCTTCAACATGCCATGCATTTCCACACTTCTGTGCCTCACTTTTGTTCTTCTCATCACTAGAAACACTTCTCCCTCTACCTACCTGAGTAATTCAACCCTTACACCTGGAATCAATTGTTAGCTCTTCTATCTTCCTTCCTGTATACCACCCTTTCTTCTAGACTGCTACCTCTTCTTTACATTTAACCCAGTTATTGTGCATCACACATTGAATTGCCCTTGTTTTTTTCCCAATTACAGTTGACATTCAATATTATCCTGTATTAGTTTCAGGCATACAGCATAGTGGTTAGACAATCGTACTTTACAGAGGGGTCCCCTCAATATTTCCAGTACCCATCTGGCACCGTACACAGTTATAATACTAGAGACCTGGTTCACGAAATTCATGCACTTGAGGGGGGGAGCCTCAGCCCGGCCTGTACCCTCTCCCAGTCTAGGAGCCCTCAGGGGATGTCCGACTGATGGCTTAGGCCCGCTCCCTGCAGTTGGACATCCTTAGCACTGCCATGGAGGTGGGAGAGGCTCCCGCCACTGCCACTGTGCTCACCAGCCATGAGTCTGCCTTCTGCCCCCTGCTGGTCAGTGCGCATCATAGCGGCCGGTTGTTCCGCTGTTCAGTCGATTTGCATATTAGCCTTTTATTATACAGTATAGGATTATTGACTATATTCCCTGTGCTGTCCTTTACATCCCCATGACTATTTTGTTTTTTAAAAAATAAATCTTTATTGTTCAGATTATTACAGTTGTTCCTCTTTTTCCCCCCATAGCTCCCCTCCACCTAGTTCCCACCCCACCCTCTGCCCTTACCCGCCCCCCACTGTCCTCATCCATATGTGTATGATTTTTGTCCAGTCTCTTCCCACACACCCCACACCCCTTTCCCCCCTGAGAATTGTCAGTCCACTCCCTTTCTATGCCCCTGATTCTATTATATTCACCAGTTTATTCAGTTCATCAGATTTTTTATTCACTTGATTTTTAGATTCACTTGTTGATAGAT